TTACGCCAAGAGAGACACTCTCTGTTTGGGAGCTTGTTTGATAAAATACAACCAAGTCATGAAAGAAGTTGTAAACCAGAATATGTCCAATAATCTAACGGCTCCATCTTTATCTTTAAAGGGTTGGTATTATTTATATCATTACCATAAAGAAGAAGAATGGTATGAAACTACTAGAATGGTTGCGAAACATACCGAAAAAGAAAATATAGAAAAAGTTTATTCGCACACAAATCCTTTTATAAGAAATTTTATCAGACGATCTATTAAAGGAGGAAGAGTTTCGGCAAATAGCAAAAAATCATTTGAAACGAACAAAATGGATAAAATTTGTAACGTATTAAAGGAATATACAGACCTTGAAAGTAATAACATAATTGATTTATTCAAAGAATACAGCGCAAGCACAAAAGACAAAACGGAGGTTCATTCGAAACTTAAAAAAAAGAATGTACTAAACTAATGGCATTTGATGCTAACGGTTTATACGCTTCCGCCATGTCGGATTTAGACAGTGAATATCCGAGAGCAGAAAGTGGAAGACCATTTCTACCAGAAGAAGAAAAAGAATTTGTAAAACTCTTCAATAAACAAAAATTCAGACCTAGAACAGCTATTTTAACAGTGTGGTTTGACTATCCCAAAAACATGTTCTTGCAACCGATACCAGCTAAAGATAAAATCACTTTCACGAATAAAGAAGGTAAATAAAGGCACTAAAATCAGGTTCAGAAATGGTTTTTGTCACGACGTATTAACATCGGTTGATATTCCAGAAATAGTTAAAGCCGGTGAATATTAGATGGTATAGTTTACGAAGAAAATTTTAAAACTCCACCCTATAGAGATTATATTTTAATTTTGAGAGATCTAAGAAATAAATATAAACGAGAAGGTAATATCGTGGGTAGTAATTGCATGAAATTATTAGGTAATTCCTTGTATGGTAAATCAATTCAGAAAGATATATTCACAACTAGACATTTATGGAATGAAGCAACTTTACAGGCCAAATTTGATTCACATGTTAAAACCTATGAGAAAATTAATGATACTCAATATATTGCTGAAACAGAAATTGAAGAAAAAGAGATTACTACCGAAGATAGTAAATCTACACGACTAACACCTAGTCATTTGGGATCATTCGTTTTATCTCAACAGTAAAAAAATAATGAATATTTCATTCACGTCATAAATGGATTTTATAAACCCGAAATATACTATACCGACACCGATAGTTTGTACATTTCATCCAACAATTGGGAAAAACTAAACAGAGCTGGTTTGGTCTCCGAAAATACTATTGCAAAGGTAAAAACGATTACGGTGACGGTGGAATTATATTTGGCTTATATTTAGCACCAAAAGTCAAATACAACATCGTTTTGACTTCTGATGGTGTTTTAAAAGAAAAGAAAACGTTTAAAGGTTATTCTACTGATAAGATAAGTGTAGAAGACTACGTTCAGTTAGCAAGCGGACATGATGTGTTGAACAAATTTAAGAAACCATGGGAAAAAAGTTTCACCAATGGAGTAGTTATTCCAAATGATAAACAAACTAAAGTTTTTAGAAGTTATTTGAATAATGTTAAAAGAAAACCACCAAACAGTGAAGGAATTATGTATCCTTACAACGACAAAGATGAGTATAGTTTTGATGAAAACTATGAATTTGATGATTTCGATTATCTTACTATTCAAGAAGAGAATGAAGATTGTTTTAAATGAAGTTGAATGACAATTTCTTCGTTGCCAAAGTCTATGAACCTGTTTTTACCGTCTTTGATTTCCAGATTTATATCTTTGATCATGAAAGAATTGACTGG